ATCAATATCTGTACATATTTTAAATAAATATGAAGATTAGTCCAAATAGCTTTATCATTATGCCAGGTAGCAATATAAAAAGAGAGTAACAACTTTAGAAAAGACTTATTTATTAGATGTTGAACGGCAAAATTTTAAGTATTCCTACGTAGATGATAGGGACGTCTTTAGGACCCTATATTTGGGGGAATTATGTGGCCTTTGCTGACCCACTGTTTGAAGCAACCAGGTGTGCAGCTGAGGCTGTGCGCTTAAAGACTTTTTAAATGAGCAGATGCTCACAGGCACTCTTAAAACAGTCTGAATGGGAACCTTTACAGAAAGAAACATGTCTATATAGTAAAGGAGTTGGTGCGCAGTTAACATAACCCGGTTGGTGGATACCAAGCCTGTCTTTTCCTGGCAAGGAAGCGTCTTAACACCTCGGCCTCTGTTGACTTATTTTACCACACCCCAAGATTTCCCCCTCCAAACAGCTGACTTTTCATAGGTCTATGCCATAAACATGAGCTCTGCAATACCATGATCGAGTCAGTCATCCAAGGTGGTTGATACTGAGAAGGATTGGAAACTGAAATCCTTAAAGGATGAATTAATGAAATGAAACAAAACACGTATGAATTAAGTGTTACTCACTGGTTTGAAGACAAAACACCAGTCCTTAAAATATTTCTTTCTCATTGATGAGGCCGTAAACAGAGCACCTGTCATGCTTAGCTCATAGCTTAGCCATGTCTGCGTGGAGTCAGTTTGCAGAAAGATACATAGTGCCTGTTAGAGAGGGGAGATCAGATGCGGGGGTGTTTTCCCCCCATGTCGTCATAAAGGGCGAAGCATGAGAGAGGAGAAAGATTTTATTTTTTATTTTTGAACCTCATACACAGAATTCAGGGCACAGATGACTGTTACGAAATGTTTATAATATCAGTTTTGCATAATAAGGAACATTACATTTATTTTTAGTATTTCCCTCACAAATTGCATCTGTGAATTAAAGGCCTGGTTCACCAACAACTTCCTTCAATTAAACAGTAGTAAAACCGAGGTTCTCCTCATTGGCACCAAATCAACTCTTTCCAAAACCGACAGTTTCCAAGTCACTATTGATAGCTCCTCCCCCTCCCCCCAGGTTNTGACTGCCACTTAAATTTCCAGAAGTACTTGAACGGTTCGTGTGGAGATTTATCCCCTGCTCTGTGTGAAGCTCAAACAATCCTTTCAGAGGGAGGAGGCCAAAACGTGCAGTTAGCAGGATGACTTCCTGCTGAGAGGCAAAGACAAAGACAATAAGGTTAGGCTCAAGGAAGAAAAAAGATTGAGTTAGACTCAGCTTGGCTAGAGTACCCAAAACTGGCAAACACTCTGGCATTTAGGTAGTGGCAGTCAGCAGCTTAAGAGTCCTCAGATAATGAGGCAACCATCCGCAGGTGTGTGGAAGGGCCAATGAGAACCGGGCACCACCTGGTGGTGGAGGGAAAAAACACAAACACACAACCCACACAAACTGGATTTGTGAGGGTTAAAGCTAAAGTCCATGATGAGCTCCTTGGTCTTTTCAGTGTCCGGCTGCAGGTTGTTTGTGTTGCACCACTCAGCCAGCCTGTCCGCCTTTTCCCCTGTAGGCAGCCTCTTCATTGTCTATGATGAGTCTGATCGCCATGGTGTCATCTGCAAACTTGATGATAGCATTGAACAATAAATTAATATTGAACTGAAATTGTACCTAATTATCCATCCATCCATATTCTCCTGCTTAGTCCTTGTCAGGGTTTGCGGTGGGGCCGGTCCCTATCCCCAGAAGTCTATGGATGACAGGCAACGTACACCCCTGACATATTACCAGTCTATTACAGGGCAACAGAGAGACAAACAATGACACAGAACTATCAACACACTCACACCAAAGGAGAATTTAGAGAAGCCATTTAATGTAACATTCATGTTTTGGGGCTCTGAGAGGAAGCCAGAGTACCCAAAGAGAACCCACGCAAGCACGAGAAGAACATGTAAACTCCTTGCAGAAAGACCCTGGGCCAGGAATTTAACCCACCACCTTTTTGCTGTAAGGCAACAGTGTTGCCCACTGCTGCACCGTGCAGCCCTCAAAGATAATAATGAATTGCATATTTTCTTGCTTTCTTCTTTTGCCTGACCAAACTGCATCAGGTTTTTATTTACTAGAGCTAAACATCCATACATGCCATTAAGACAACAGATTCCTCCTGCCCATGAGTCATTTCAGTATAAAATTTCATCAATATAAAAGTATGTTTCATTCAGAATGTCGCAACCATGGTTGACACCCACACTTTTCCTTGTGAAGCAGCTGACCACTGTCACTTTTCCCCCCAACACTTCTGGTCTGTTACTCCATATTGAGTGTGTTTCCGTGAGTGTGATTCATCTGTACTTGCAACACACCCTCCGGACTGGGGGACCACCACCCCAGTCTGTCAATCAAGGGGAACTGCCTTCGATGTCAAACACAATACTGCAGAGTTGAGCTAACCAACACAGCCGCAAAACATTCAGAGCCTTAAGGTACTCAGGGCGAATCTCATCGACCCCTGGGGCCTTCCCACCGAGGGGCTCTTTAACCACCTCAGTGACCTCAGCACCAGAGATGGGAGAACACATCCTGGAGACCCCAGGTCCTGCTTCCCCAATGGAAGAAGTGTTGGCTGGATTAAGGAGGAGTTCAAAGTACTCCACCCACTGACACATGATGTCCTGATTTGAGGTGAGCAGCACACCACGCCCACTATAAATACTGGTTGTACTGCACTGCTCCCCCCCCTGAAACGCTGAATTGTTACCTGAATTTTTTCGAAGCCACAGTCTTTCACAAGGCTCTATCCATAGCCTCTCCTAACTCTTCCCATGCCTCAGCTACCAGCTGAGCCACCTGCCGCTTTGACTGCCGGTACACATCAGCTACTTCTGGAGGGTCACAGGTCAATAAAGCCTGATAGGAATCCTTCTTCAGCTTGACAGCTTCCCTCACCGCTGGTGACCAACTGTGTAATTGAGGGTTGTCACCGCGACATGCACCGACCGTCCACCTTGCGGCGACAACTCTGACTAGCCACCTGAACAATAGAGGCACGGAACATGGTCCACTCAGACTCAATGTCCCCCACCTCCATCAGAACGTGTTCAAAGCTCTCACAGAGGTGGGAATTGAAACTCCGTCTCTCTCTTTTGTCAGCAAGATTCAAGATGAAGAAAATTAAAGGGTGAGTGAAAACAGATCTTTTCAAAGAGAAAACTCTATAAATGATATAAAACGAAAGGAAAAATTAATAAATTAAAACCTTTCTGTGGTGCACTTTTGTTTTAAACAAGCTAATTGTTGAGTAAAGTTACTTATAATAAGTCAAGTAACCAGACATTTTAAGAGTAAGGATAATTTATGCAAGTCAAAACAACTCTTGAAAGCAGTGGGTCACTTCCTCTTCTCCTTTTTCTGCTTTGTCATGGAAATGCAAGGATAACTGTAAACACATCTGGTACATTCCACTTCTGCAATACTGATTTTAAAGCCTTTTATTTATTTAGATATTTAAATTCATAACTATGTATTTTCTTACGAATTGTAGTCTCTCAACTAAATGTGAAGAAATAGAATACATAAACTTTGTGTCAAAGTTTTGTATCAAAGTTGATTTGTTTGTTTTTGCTTACAAAAACAAAATGCAACAGCACCTCAACAGCAGACATTTCACAAATGTAACAGCCTCAAAGTGTTTAGCTTTAGCCCACACAGGGGCTATAGCTAAGCTGGAGTTCTATTTATTTGTTTTCATACAGTAATTCAGTTCAGTTTATTTATATAGCTTCAATTAACAACACACCATCTCAAGGCACTACAGAGACAATCAAACCAGATCCTGGTGCTCGAAATGAGCTGCATGACCTTTTGCTGCACCTTGACGCACGTCAGCCATTGACTCTGCATGTAAATCAGCTGTTTTTGCTGCTTCCATCACGTGTGGTGTGAATGTAGCATTAGATTGTCATAGAGAAGGAATGACAACATAATAATGAATTGATCTTACCTTGAAAACTATAAAACAATAATTAAAACATTTTATTTCTTAGTACTTTTCCCTCTAGTCCCTCTACTCTAATGCAAGAGACATCTTAAAAATATGATGTAATTTAATTCAAAATAAATAAATATAAAACTGAATTATTCCATATTTGCTAAATTGAAAACTAAACTGAAGATTTCCCTTGGTTGCTTTGGGACAGTTGTGGTCATCAATATCTGTACATATTTTAGATAAAGATGAAGATTAGTCCAAATAGCTTTATCATTACGCCAGGTAACAATATAACAAGAGAGTAACATCTCCTCTGGAACTCTCTACCACCCCAACTTAGAAACACGGACTCAATTCTCCATTTTAAAATGCAACTCAAAACCCATCTGTTCAAGGTTGCTTATTCTCTTTAAAAATATCAATTTCACTGTCACAGCCTCTGTATTTTTTAAATGTTTTTAAATGTCTTTATAATTATTATTTTTATTTTTTCTGACACTTTTTATGTTTTTGTACAGTGACCTTGAGTGTCCAGAAAGGCGCCTTTTTAAATAAAATGTATTATTATTATTATTATTAAGTATACCTACAACCTTATTAATAAATTGCTAAATTGCATTACTTTTACTTATAATGTTAAATCTGACATACTAGATTCACTGATAATCACACCTTATATTTACCCTTTTTCCCACACATCCCACCATCAATATAATGTGTCCCACAGAGGTCCTATGAATTTAATTGGATTTTTTCCTTCATTAAGACCCATATCTTCTCATGTACTCTTGAAAAAGCAGTTAAAAATAAATGTAATCTACGTATGAATATCCCTCTATTATTATTATTTTCTTAATTCGTATTTTATTGTTATTTATTATTATTACTGTCGTTTTATTACCTTATTATTGATTTCTTGGTTTTTCTTGCTCTTTTTTTTTTCTTAATCTTTCTTTTGCAGGTGAATGTGGGATCTGACGTGGTTGTGAATTCAACAGGATGGATCCAGGTGGGGACAGGGGGGAGGGACTCCCTCCCTCTATAACTACTCTATGTGGGGAACATAAAAGCCAGAGCAAAGCTCAGAGGTAAGCTCACAATCTCTAATAGTCCATATATATCAGACCAAAACAGATGTGGTTATAAAGCTGTTGCTGTTCATTTTGGTTGCTTCATCCAGACTGAACTGAGGCAGCTCAGCATGGCATCTGTAGGTTCTCACCAACAGCAAGTCAGTGCTGCAAAAACAGCAGAATGACACCAGCCTGTTGGTTAGAGCTCTTGGTTCCAACATGACATATGTGGAAAAACTCACCAGCTTCCAACACATTTCCTGGATTGTGACAATCAACATTCAACATTATTCATTCTAGAATGAAGGATGGATGATCACCAAATATGAAAGAATCTCTTTATTGATTTTTAATCAATATACAACCCAGATTAATGGAACTAACTAGTCACGCTATGTAGGCATTGATTGGGTCTCAAATTGGTTTTAAGAAAATTAGCTTAAATGTAGCAGAATCTTTGTTACTAATGTTATTTCAGTTCCTACACAGTTTTTCTGCATCAAAACTAAATAGACAATTAACATGGAGCTGTTTTTTTATCTTGTAGACTTTCACATTTGGGTGCCAGAATTTAGCCTGGTTCTTGCACATATGTGTCCATATTATAAATGCCATAAGGGATGTAGGTAGAAGCTAACAGAAATGTGTTTTTTATATTTTTTTACTGTCAGGATGTATGAAGCACTCACATCACAATCAGATCCCAGCCCCTTGTCCTCCAGGACCATTCGTTCATCTTCTGAACCTTTAACTTCAGAGAGGTGTGTTGCATCCAGCTGCTCTAACTTAGGAAATAAGTCATTCTGAAATATTATTTCAACAGGTACTTAAAGGAATAGTACACCCA